TTTTTTTTGTCATTTATCTTTCTGTCTCCTCTGTCACCAAACTCAACTCATCCCACAGTCTCAAGCGTCAGTGGTTTCTTCAAAGTCCTTTGGTAGGTATATCTGCCTACACACACACACTCACATACAGAGGTTACAAAAAAGGAAAAACTGTTACTCATTTAACCTTGTCCTTTGCTCCTCTGTTCAGAGTTAGGAATTCCTTTTTTTTTTTTTTCTTACCATCTTGCTCTTTTAATATAGTTCTTTCTGATATTTAGCAAGAAAGTTACTTTCTTGACCTTCATTCTTTATCATTGAGGTTGACTGCATAGCACACGACCCTCAAAAATGCAGCATTAACTATTAAAGTGATTAAAGTTATTGAACAGAAAGAAAGCCCACATTGCACATTTCTTTTTCACTCATACCAAAGGCCTGCTCTATGCTTGATATTCCATTAATAAGCTACAAACTCAGTGAAAGAAACTTATATTCTTATTCTATTAATTCTTTGACTGGAATTTTTAAAACTTATTTTCTTTTAGGAAATCTTTGTATTAAGGATGAATTTTCACAGGATTCGATCCCCAACATGTATTTACACAATTTGCCATCAGTTTGGCATTACTGGAGAAATATTTAACTTTAGGAAATTTTGTCTTGGAAAGGGAGCTGGAGGTGCTTGAGTCAGGTTGATAAAAGGTATAATAAAAACAATCTATTCCACATCATCTTGTCCTTTCAGTGAGGTCAGTGCCTACTGACCCTGCACCTCTTCAACCATACACCATTTTAGGTAGTGATTAAAGGCTAAGGCTGTATCAGAGCTTGTAATCATGAGCCTTCGGTATCACAAGAAGTTTAAGGCTAAAAAGAGAACTTGAGAAGGAGAGAAAAAGGATCCTCCAGCTGCCAGCCCTAAAAGATAAAGTAGTTTTAAACCAGCTTTTCTAGAAATGGTTATATTTCAGCCCCAGCCTCTTAAAAAGCTCACACTCACTACACTCACTATGCTGGAGATGAGGACATGGTTGTTCTCAGCATTTCTAATTGTGCACAGCTTACCATCCACATTGGTAATATGTGCTCTCTAATTCTGGTGATCAGTGGGATGGTGTGCACTATCAGTGGGATAGGTGATACCTATGCTGTCAAGAACTGCAGGAATTCAGCTGTGACTGGGAGAGCCGTGAAGATGTGAGAATCAATCACCCCGCCTCCCGCCCAGGTGACAGGACATAAGCCAACACTACATCCAAACAGCCTCACTGTGTTCACAGGGAGATGAGCTCCAAAGAAGGAGCTCTGCTTTAAGCACAGCACTCTGCAAATAGCATTAGTCTGCCTATAGCCGTGACAGGCAAGTGCAGCCAGTGCTGCACTGCACCTCCTGATTCCTGACCTGCATTGTTGTGGGACCTTGCACTTGTTGCACTTCAGTAGGATTGCGCAGGCACACCTT